TTTGAGGGATTACGGATTGAAGACCGTAATTGGTTGTTTGCCTGCCGTCCCAACTACCTGTTGCAAGGACCGAATGTCAAGTGCCTTAATTGAGGGCGTAACGCCATTACCTGTATGCACCTGTTGTCTACTCTTTTGTGAGTACTTATGAATTTTATTGACTAAAGCTTAACTGTGATACCTAAATTGTTAGAAGTTGATTTATGACTCCATTTCAGTGTACCTTACTTATTTATGGATGTTTACTTTAACTCCAACCGAACGAACAATTATGAGTATAAAACTACGGTATAATATATACCTATAAATAACGTACAATTTGTTTTATATGTAGGTTATATTTATGATAAATTTTATTCATAGATTTGAAGTGATCACGATCAAAAACTTAGTAACTTAAATTGTTATAGTGCATTTACTTTAACTAATATACATCAATATAATTTTGTTGACGAACTATTTGCTTTTTATTTTTTGTTATAATATGAATTTATATTTTTGTGTTTCTCTTCCAGGCATTTTTTTATTGATTTATACTATTATTTGTTTTATCGTATATTTAGTGTTATATGAGTATTTTACCTGTATCTTACCTTTCTTGTTATCTTGTTCTATATGCCTTAATGTTTCCCTGTTCCTCTAAAAATAGGGTGGTGCCCAAATAACTTCTCTTCTCTTATCTTCTAACTTCTTGTCTCTGTGTTGTCAGTACTTCTTTGACTGATCCGTGATATTTGAGCTGTAATAAGAACCCCGACCAAGATACCTCTACCAGACTGAAGCCCGAGCCTAGTACCGTTCTTTGTGTAACCCCCAATCAATCATCAAAGAGGGTACATCCTTACAAATTGACATCTTGTTCATCTTTTAACCTATCTCATATAAAGTTTTAAAACAGCATATTTTCATCCATCGTAAGCTTTGACATGCATTTATTTTTACATCTAAAGAAAGTTGAGGTATAGTAGACTCACTTTAAATAATTGAGGTTCAATTAAATACATGCTAGCATATCTAGAAGTTTTTTTGTTATATTGGTTCAACTTTTAGATGTATATATGAAACCAAACCTTCTGCCCGATAATAAGAATAAACATAAGCTTAGGAATATTTACATTGTCTGTAGAATGTCAAAAGTACCCGAATTTAAAGTGTTTTTTCTCTACAAACCATTATTATTTAAAAATAATATTATACTTAGGTGCAGTCTGTTTTGACGGCCATTTTGTCAACTATTTTTCCAGTTGTAGTTGTATATTGAAGTCTAAGAAGACGAGCATTCTTTCTGTCACTTTTCTTCCAAGTTTCTGGACACCTTTTTTTCCTCTTATTTTGTAGTTCCTCCGTATCAGAATTTTCACTGCTAGACATTTTAAATTTCTCAAATACTGATAAAACCTTAAATTATCACAAGCTGCTTACACTGCAATGATCAAGGCTAAATACTGAATAATAATATTCAGCTGACTGCAGCCAATGATGCGCGATAAGCACTATTGAGTGGAAGAACGATAGAAGTTGTATCGTTATTCCAATGTGCCAAATTGTACCTCGCTTTTAAAGCGTAACGGATATTGTACGTTTCTTATTGGGACCGTGCAAGTTCGGAACAGCGACAGCTAGTGTCGTAAATCAGCAAAATTTACTGCGCTTTTATGTTAGATCGAGGTAACCGGATAACTGTCAAGGACGTGGCCCCAAAAAAGAATAAGAAGAAAAAGTAAGATTGAGGTTATGTCGGTATGTTATTAAAAGGTAAACATTGATGTAGCGTAAATACAAATAAATATATTATTGAATTACAGCATTACTGTTAATATGGATTCAATATTAAAAACTGGATTTGAGAAAGTAAATCACCAAATAACTTTTCAACCAAGCACTGAGTCAAAGGGAAAAGCTTTAGTAGCGGCAAATGTCAAAAAATAATGAAAGAATTAAGAAAAATAAATTACCATAAATAATGCTAATGCATAAATTAGCAGGTTAAGCCCATAATATCGTCATATTGGTTTGAACAATTAATTCTTTCCCTGTAAACTTTTGGACAGCGAATATATCTTAATGCATCTTCAGAAAAACTTGAACTTGATGCATTCTTGTAAACTTCAAAAGAATAAAATTTAAACATTAAACTTGATTTTTGGGTTAAAATGAACTCTAAGTGAGTGTTATGAAACTAAAATTTACACTTAAAAGTGAAGTTTTATTTATTATTTATTTCAAACTTACTTTAAAATCGGGCGCAAGAATAATGCATAATTTGGGTTATGTTACTTATGCTTTTTTATGATATAAATCCACTTTTCTCTTTGTAGTATCTTTGTGCTTGAAGTTGGTAACGAATAAAACTTAAATTGACAATTTTTTGTTGTATTTTTACAATTTATAACACAGCATTTCCTAAATCCAATTTTCTTCAGAGACAGAAGGTGTAAATGTAAATAAACAAAACGAATATGAAATATGACAATTGACAATATGAATTTATGAAATCTATGAAACGTGCACTAAAAAATGCAAAATTTCTCCGCTACTCGCGCACGATCGTTTCTCGTATCCCCTCCAAGTACTTGCACGTCGCCAATAGTCAGCAGATAGATCGATAGTTAAAAAGCAATTTGACTATCTTCGCTTGAAATGTCAATTTTTGGAGTTATATCGTTTTTCCACTCCGCGGTTAAATTATTGGCACCAATTATTTTGTGGAATATACGTAGATACTTAAGTACCTACCTTGATAATTTCAAAAGATTACCTACACAATTAAAACAAAACTATAAACTAAAAAACATTAATTGAGTAAGTTACAAAATATAAAATTATTTAAATTACCAAACGAAAATAAAAATCAAAATGCTGTATTCTTTAAAACAAAATTTAAATTCTGGTAAAAACCAACTAATTTTAAATAAACAACTGAAGTAAAAGAAATCTTATATTGTGTTTACATTCAGGTATTCTTATGATTTTTCTTAGCAAAGCAAGCGCTACAAATAAATGCTTCTTTCTATAATTTGTATTTAGTTAAGCAGCTAACATAATAAGTCCAAGTGCAGTTCTGACATTTTATTCCTATGTTTGTCCTGTAAATATTGTGAGTACAAACAAAACATAGTCATTGCGGAACAATCGTATTGTTTTCTGGTAAAGATTGTGGAGACGGCCGTTCTAGACTTTCTTGAAAAAATTTTTTATATGGGAGACTTTGGTTTTTAAATTTGGAGTAACAGCGTCTGATACTTGCGATGTGCAAAACTTTAGGTCTGTTGAATTTTGTAGTCACGGTTAGTGTTGCTAGTACCACATCTTCTAGAAGGACTGCAACCAGATTTGCCGTTCAAACCGAACGTTTTATGAGGTGTGACAGACTTATTTAAATAATGGTTGTGAACATCTTTATTATTTGCCTTGTTTTTACAGGTTTTTAGGGGTTTCCTGTTTCTTTTTACTTTGTTTGTACCAAGAGATTATGTTAGTACCCTTTTATTTCATGTTTTGTAGTTGCCTCAATCAAAACCCCTTTGCCATTTACTTATACACAACCCCCGCTCTCCTAACAAACCCTGAGTGCCTTATCCCACCCCCTTAGTTTCAGTCCCCAATTTTCTACCCCTTGTATTAATACCCCATGTGGTAGGCAGAAATATATTCGTTACAAATTTTGATCATACTTTAACATTTACATAAAACAAAAATTTCGCAAGATATTTTGCAACATTATTAGCTTCAAATAAGAATAAACACATTTAAAAAGGCCATTTTGAAGTTTTTTTATATGACTTATAAGATTACTACACTTAAATTTGATTTAAATGCTTTACTGTATGCTGATGGACAAAAAAAAAATTTGACCTTAATTTGTTAATAACCAATTTATTTTTACGCTTTTTGGTCCTGCTAGTAATTTTATCGCTAATGGCTGTATTAGCTATTTTCACCAGGAAAACTGTAGGAATTTATCCCAAACTCGATTTGCTTGGCTGTCCTAAGACCATTGATCCATCAATCAATCATATTTGATTCCAATTTACTATATAAGGTTACTTGTTTACCGGATAATATAATAATTGTGTTATTTATGTCAGTAAAAAATTATTCTCCTTAGAGCTTTTTGTTATATTCCTTAAAAGGGTGATTTGGCAAACAACTTCTGATCAAACTTACGTATAAACTATACTGGATGTTTTAACTCTAGCCTCAAACAATTTAAATTAATATTTAGCAGTTAATTTTTTAATAGTTTGTATAAAAATCGACATGTTTTTGCAAAATTATTTTGCAATATTTAAAATTAATTTTCTTAATTTTTTTTTAACTGTAAATAATAAAACAAGCGTTCTTCTACCAGAAACAACCCTTACAATTACTAAAACTGTATAAATTTCTGACTTATATTGTTGCAAAAAATGTTAATTTGGGATAAACAAATAAAATAACTTTTAAACTATTGGACCTATCACTTTGAAATTTTGACTCTATTTTAAGCACTACAAGACACATCATTCCATGAAATATAAATATTATAAGTTTATTTTCAAAAAAGTTATTAACATTTATAAAAAACAGAAATTGTTGACTTATTTTGCAACTTTCTAAGCAACAAATAAGGATAGAAACATATTGAAAACGCCATTTTGAAGGTTTTTATATAACTTATAAGTTTCCTCTCTTCTAAAATTTGTATAAATTGCTTCACTTTTTGCTGATAGACGAAAAAAGCAAAAATTGTTCTGTTTTTTGACCTTAATTTGTTAATAACTAATTAAGTACAAAAAATCGACTGCAGGAAACATATAGGTTTTTGTTACAGAGGTCCATACTACTCAAAACAAGTATCGTTTGCCTGGCCGGACGAGTGTCAAAAACAGGGTACTTTTTTTGCTTATTTCCCTGGCCTATTATATGGTGTTATATTATTTCATACTAATTATTGTATTCTTATGTAATAGATTAGTAGGAACATAAATCTTCTTATGTATGTAGTAAAATATTTTTAGGTTGCCCAAAGCATTACTTGTAATTCCTCGTTCATTTGGAAAAATGCATTTAGTTGCAATGGTATGGCTGGGAAACAACTTTGCAACATTTTCAACCTATTACTTCTTTCTTCTATGGGGAAAAACTAGACAAAAGGTAATTAACACAACTTTAAATTATATTAAGAGGATTTTGTATTCGAGTAAAATCTTAAAAATTTAAGATATCGATTAAATTTTCTTTTTCAGATACAAATATGACCTTAATCTTCATTAATATCTTTAATCTCAAGATATTGAGATTAATATCACGTAAATTTTAAAACACCTAGTAAACTAAAATTTTATTCTGAGGTTGCAGTCATTATTAGGGCGGGATGAGTAAAACTCTTTGATCTTTTATCTAGCTTTCGCAAAATTTATTCGCTTCGTCAGGATATATGCTAAAATATGGTTATAATTATTTTATCAATATACAGGGTTAATTAATTGTAGATACAAAAAGAAACAGTATATTTTACATTATAAAATATTACGATTTAAGTCAAACTATTTTAATAAAATGTTGATATTAAGAAAGATACAGGGTGTTAAAGTGGAAATTTAAAATTTTAATTTTCGCTATAGCTGTCATGTTTGTGAACATTTATGTATAAAAATTCATAACTGGCTACTATTGAACATCATTTTAGCAAAAAAACAGGTGTACTTGTTGATAACTTTAAAACTCAACAGTTTTTGAGATAATAGTATTTTACAAATCAACTACATAATTCAGTTTTAACGCAATTACTCCAGGTAACAAAAGAAAATTAGACAAAAACATCAATAGTTCTGAATTTTGGTTCTTGAAATATTAAATAAAATAAATATATCAGCAGGATAATTTGCAATAGGATTTGACAAAATAACAGAATGATTGGATTTTACATAAAACATTTTACGTTTTGTATTAAATTAAAGTCATAATCAAAATATTTTGTTTATAAAGCAAATTAAAAAATAGTCAATCTAAATATTATTAAACTTTTTGTCAAAGTAAGTGTTCGATATGTCCACTATGTTCTTTAATTTATTTCATTCATTTCACATTTCAAAAATCGTCTCATATTAAATAGCATCATTGGTTCTAAACAAACTGCTGCAGTATTTATAATTAGTAGAAGTATTATTAGTATAATATATAATAAATATAGTATGATAATAAAGTATTTGTTTGGAATTTTTATGAATTAAATAATTATAATAATATCTCACCACATGACCAAGGAATATGACTACCACGAACAATCCAACGTTAAGGAAAGTTTTATTTAATTATGTTCTCACTGCCCTCTCTCTATAATGTGGTGGTGTACTATCTTGCATAAACCACATATTTTTCCTTAAGTTTGATGACAATGCGTCCAATAAATCAATAAAATCATTTTATAAAAAATGTAAATCTCAGCATTCAAATTACAAGGTAATTCGCATATCCGTAAAAAATAATTACAAATGGTTCCAATGGTTACGATATACATTTTAAATATGAATTTTAAATAAACGTATGGTTTGGAACCATCGGTAATTATTTTTTTACGGACATGCGAATTACCTTGTAACTTGAATGATGAGATTTATTTACATTTTTTATAAAATGATTTTATTAATTTATTGAAAGAATTGCCATCAAATTTAAGGCGAAATATGTGGTGTATGCAATATGGTACACCACCATATTATAAAACGAGGGCAGTGAGAACATACTTAAATAAAACTTTTCTGAACGTTAGATTCTTCGTGGTAGTCATATTCCTTGGTCATGTAGTGAGATATTAATATAATTATTTAATTTATAAAAAATACCAAAAGTGCAGTTTTATATATACAGTTAAACCTCCGTTAACCGAAAAAATTGGAAACGAGCTCGGTTAATTATATAAATTTCGGATAACAAGAATTTCGGTTAAAAATAACATTGTTTTTTATAGTATTCTTGGCTAAGGTATAGTAGAAATTTTAAATTTTAAACTAGTAAAAATACTATGAGGTGATTTCGTAATGTTTTTTATTAAGTAAATACAGAATAAAGTAATAAAAGTAAGCAAAATAAACAAGTTTAACATGCTTTTTTAAAGAAATCTTGTATTTTCTTTTACGTTATCATTTGACAACTATGTTTTGTACTATACATCTCCATCGTTCATTTGCAGAACGTCGTGAGTTTTCCTCATTCCATGGTTCGACGAAATGTAAAGCAGTCTGAAAAGGACAAAACTATACAATGACAAATAAAAATTAATAACCTAGTCGTGTCCCTAACTACTACTATATAAAAATTCTTATCCTTAAGGCATTAAAAATCTCGTCGGCGGTCTCAGGCTGTCTGTTGTCCGTTGGGTCGTCATCTTCGTTGTCTGATACGCTCAGGTTGTCTCAATGAAGAACCATATCAATGATTTCCTGGTCGATGAATTCACTTTCCGAGTCATCGGCGGCTAACCACTCACTATCTCTTCTTAGTTAATTTCGTCACATCCCGGCAAATTTTTTATTAAAGGTTTAATTTCTTCTGTCGTTTTATTGCCATTTTCTTCTTCAGGATCGTCAATCAAAATCCTATCAAAAGGTTAGTTCGAGCATTTTTCCAAAGTTGAAGATGTCTCTATTACTCATGCAATGTCTCTATTACTCATTAAGCAACAATGCTTTGATGAGAAGGTTTTTTTTATTTTAAAAAGGATTTTATACTTGAGACGAATTTATTTTCAAAACATTCTGAAAATAAAGTGGTCGACATCCATGAGCTTTTTTGGCTTTTATAAAACACAAGAAGTGGTTTTTCTCAACTATCTTTTAGAGCTCTTGGTTTTTTAATTTCCCAACACACATAGACATCAATCGGTGAGGAAAATTAATGGATCTGTTTACGTTTTGCGATAAAAATTTACTTGTTATTGACGAAATTATTGAAACTGTCAGCCGTTTTGGTTAAACGATGTTTCGGTTAAAAAGGTTTCGGTTAAGGGTTTTACTGTAAATAAATACTGCAGCAGTTTCTTTCGAACCAATGATGCTATTTAATATGAGACGATCTTTTGTGGAATTTATATCGAACAATTACTTCGACAAAAAGTTTAATGTTATTTAGTTTAACTATTTCTTGATTAAGTTTGTAAATAAAATCTTTTTGTTATGAGTTTAATTTAATATAAAACGTAAAATGTTTTATGTAAAATCCAATAATTCTGTTATTTTGTCAAATCCTATTGCAAATTATTCTGCTGATATATTTATTTTATTTATTATTTCGTTAACTATTAACTTTATTAAAGGAATTTTATATAAAAATTCAGAAGTATTGATGTTTTTGTCTAATTTTCTTTCGTTGCCTGGAGTAATTGCGTTAAATCTAAATTATGTAGTTGATTTGTAAAATGCGATTATCTCGAAAACTGTTGAGTTTTGAAGTTATTTACAGGTATATCTTTTTTTTTGTTAAAATAATGTATCTTTAATATTTTTTATCACAAACACCGGTAACTTCAAGATCAAAAAAGTTAAGTGCAAATGTATACCACATATGTAGCATATGTAGCGCCCTGTATCAGCTACTAAAGTATGTATCAAATTATAATTCCTGATGTTCAGCAGTGCCCCGTTATAAATTTTGATATATAAATGTTCACAAATGTGAAAGTTATAGCGAAAATTAACATTTTAAATTTCTACTTTAACAACCTGTATCTTTCTTAATATCAACATTTTATTAAAGCAATTTGGCTTAAATCGTAATATTTTAAAGTGTAGAATCTACGATTTCTTTTAATACAATTACTTAAGGACCACCCTGTATACAATGAAATTAGAATTAAAGATCATTGTTTAAAAGTAGCACAAAAACTTACAACCTGAGGTTAATCCATTAAATTTTGAAATTCACAAAACATTAAACTTAACTTATTCAAAGTATATATTATGTAATTTCAATATTTTAAGCATTACTCATAAAAAAAAATTATTTAATTTTGTATCAATCATGATTGATAAATAATTATTATTTTGATGTTTGATTTAAGACAGAAAGACACTTGTTTCTGTTTATTATATTTTTTGTTGTTGATAACTAGTTTTCGATTGTTTTGCGTAGAAAGTGGCGTCAAATATGAATATTATGACAGAATGTAATTCTAGATATTGCTTAGTTTATCAATATCCGTTTTTTTATTAAAGCATTGATATTTATTTATGCATAACATTTCTAAGAATTTTTTTTATTTACTTGATTAAATATCAATGCGTTAATAAAAAAACTGATATTGATAAACTAAGCACTATCTATAATTACATTCTGTCTTACGAAAACTAATACTATTATTCCCTAATATTAAATTTCCTGACTAAATTAAAAAATATTATTAAATATTTAATATTTGATATTATGTTAGAAAATTTTTTTAAAATATTTATGTTAGATATGATTTTTATGTTTCTGACATAAATTAAACATCAAAATACTGAATTATTATCAATCATGATTCCTACAAAATTAAATAAAATTAAAATATTGTAATTACATAATATACACTTTTAACACAGAATAATAAACAATCAGAATGCTCACTCTGCTTCAACAAATAAGTACGCGCATCTCATTCGCGCAGACGGAATCAGCCATGTTTTAGTCGGAACCACTGCTGTTCAGTGACATTTTATCTGATGTGCATAGATAAATTAACGACAACTACAGACATAATATGCACTATTTTATTCGTACTTTTAAGTTTGGTCAAGGCCAGTTTGGTGGGCGCTCTCAGTTAGGGAGAGCGCCCACCAAACTGGTATGGCAAGTGGCAAGTAGCAAGTAGCGCGCGTCTAGCATGTTACTTAAAATGTAACCAATGAAAACGAATGATTCAGCGCACACCAAAATGACAATGACGTCATTCATTCTAATCATTCGTTGGCATTGGTTACATTTAAGAACATGCTGACGCGTGCTATTTGCTACTTGCCTTTTGCCACGCCAGTTTGGTGGGCGCTGTACATATACTCCTCACTTACATTATACTCCTGCAGTTTATATATACTATTTTTTATAGATAGTATAATATTGTTTTTATAATAATTCCACGAAGAGCTGTTAATGACATGCAAAACTGAAAGAGTCATGCAAACAGTGTGCAATCAATAGAAAATGGTTCTGTATCTGCATGCTCTATTTATAGACTTCATATAGGCTTATAATAGAGTAGATAGAGGAACTATGTACAAAGCACAAAGATAATAGAAAATACCAGAAAGATAGTTGAAATATTAAGAATGATCTCAAAAAGGACGATATAGTATGGAATGGGCATAGATAAAGTAGGATCGTTTTAGCCTGTTGCATAAGTAATAAAGGTGTCCGTTCAGATATGCCTGAGGTAGTCAGCGGTTCTCAAATTAAAAATGTACATTAAAAATGTATGTTTCTTATTTTTAATAGAAACTGTGCTTTTTGTTTTTTTTTTTTAGAATCTACGTAAAATTCTGAATCGATTTTTATTGAGATACCATTCTCGAAAAAATAGCCGTTTTTGAGATATTTAAAGTTTTTGAAAAATTTTTCATATTACACATGCAACTTCAAAAATTATATTGTGGTTAACACAAATTGTGGACACACAAATTGTCTGGTAAATTCGGAATTCTTGTTTTTTAAATAGTTTCTTATAAATTTCCACCTTTTTCCTATTGAAAACCGGCGATCGTTAAATACTAGCGAGATTTTTCGGAGCGATTCAATTTGCGTTTTTTCACGATTTATAAAAAAATTGCTTTGGTAGCGCTGATTTATCCTCAAGTACTACAGCCGACCAGTAGGAGGTTCGGTACCACAAAGCAGGTAGAAAAGGGAAAGCATAACAGAGTGGCTGTAACTAGAGTCATAAATATTTTTCGGGCGTTAATCCGAAATACGACAGGTAAACGACTTCACTATAGTAACGTTTTTGTAAGAAAATGTCTAAAGCAAGGTGGTCCGCTATCGGCCGTATTATTTAACCTAGTGCCAATGCTGATTCGGATCACATTTTAGGTGATAGTCGACATGAAATTGAAGATACTTAAAGTTAAAAACGACAGAAAGAACAGAAAGAGGTGGAATTGGTCGAAACTAAATACAGATAATGCAAACAGAAAATTCTGCACTAAATTGGAAGAAAAACTACTAGTCCTAAATCCATCGAATATAGATAAAACATGGGAAGACATAAAAGAGAGTATCTTAACAACAGCAGAGGAGACGATAGGACTAATGGAAGACAATAAAAGAAAGGATTGGTACGATAAAGAATGCGAGCAAGCTAGTAAAGACAAGGACAAAGCAAGACACAGGTGGTGGCCACAGGGAAACAAGAAGATCTCCTACACTATAAGGAGAATAAGAAAAAGAGTCAGACAAATGCTGCAAAACAAAAAAGAAGAAATGGATCGAAGAATTACTGCAGGAACTCGAAGCCAATAGTAATGACAATGCAAGACTATACAAATACATAAAATCACAGAGAAAAAAGAGATACTAGCAAATATTGGAAAAATAGAATGGGAAACACACTATAGAGAACTATTTAAAAAGAAAGACGATGATGAAAACGCAGAAAATGAAGAACAAACAGAAAATAGGAATGGAGAACAATCAGAGCCTCCCTCATACTGCGAAGTATTGGCGACCATAAACAGATTAAAGACAAGGAAAGCAGCAGGACCAGACGACATTATAAATAAATTCTTCAAGAAAGGGGGAGAGGAACTAGCCCACAGAATCCACAACCTAATAGAACGAATATGGGAAGAAGAACGCATGCCGAACGACTGGAATTGTGGTCTGATAATACCAATCCCTAAAAAAGGTGACAAGACGAAATGCATTAACTACAGGGGAATCAGGTTATTAAATACAATGTACAAAATATTAACTAATTTGATCAGACAAAGAATAGAAAAAGAAACTAGAACAAAAATAGGTGAATACCAACATGGATTCAGAGAAGGTAAATCAACAATAGATGCAATACACATTGTAACGCAAATCGTCGAAAAAAGTTACGAGCACGGAATAGATCTACATATACTGTTTATTGACTACAAGCAAGCTTTTGACAGTGTAATAATGGAGGAGCTAATTAAGGATATGAATAAATTAGGCATCCAAGAAAAACTAATAAGTCTCACGAAAATGACGATGAAGGAATCCAAGGTACGAATCTTAACAAGAGAAGGCGCGTCAGATGAAGTACAAATGGAGGTAGGTGTCAAACAGGTACACTCCCTGTCAACAACATTGTTTAACATTGCCATAGAGGGGGCAGTAAGAGCAGCCAAAATTATGGGAACGATTATCGAATCTTCAACCCAACTGATAGCGTATGCAGACGATATTGCACTGATTACTAGAGATTTAAAAACCATGCAGAACATAATATTCATACTAGATAAAGAAGCAAAAAAGAGAGGGCTAGTAATAAATCAAAGCAAAACGAAATACCTCAAGTGTTCAAGAGAGAATAGGAACATGGAGAAAGAAATTAAGCTTGGTGCATATACATTTGAAAGAGTACACCATTTCAAATACCTAAGAGTGATGGTGAATGATAGAAATGATAGAACGAATGAAATAAATGAACGCATCCTACTGGGTAATAAAACCTACTGGAACTACCAAAAATTTCTGAAAGAAAATGCATATTACTAAGAAAATCAAATTAAAAATTTACAAGACTGCAATCAGGCCAGTGATCACCTATGATGCAGAGACGATGTGCCTAACACAAAAAGATGAAATGAGGTTGGAAATCTTAGAGAGAAAGATAATTCGACGAACAATGGGACCGGTGAGGATAAGTGTAGGCGAATTTAGAAGATTAACCAATTAAAGAAGTCATCGAGGGTGAAGACATAATCAAGTTCGTGAAGACGCAAAGGCTCAGGGGCTGGGACACACAGAAAGAGCTAACCCAGACTCTATGCTAAAGCGAATATCTGGATGGAAACCAACAACATAGAGACCAAAGGCGAGACCCAAAACAAGATGGAGAGATCAAGTCTTGGGAGACATAAAGAAGCTGAGAATCTACAACTGGAAGGAGCGCTGTAAGGACCGGAAAGAATGGAGGAAAATTGTAAACAGGGCCAAGTCACACATGCTGCTATAATAATAAAAAAACAACAGCGGACTGATTCTCCGCAATAAATGAATCAGAGAGCCCAAAAGGGCGGCAAACACTCCGCCAGGAGTGAATAAGCCATGATGGTGATGATGTTAAAACTGTCATGTTGTTTATCTAACCTTTCTATTTCTGCACACTTTTCTGATAGCCACAGTTCCTTAGCTTCTTTGATTTTCTGTTTGATTATTTTATTAATTTTTTTGTAACGTTGTTCGTTTTTATTCTTGTGTGCCCTTCTGTCCGTCATCAGTTCTTTTATCTCTTGAGTGATATATTGTTTATTTTTAGATGATGTATCTTTTGTTTTGTTTTGTGATATTTCTCAAGATCTCCTCTACTTTCCCCCATTTATCTGTTACTGCCAATTGCTTTTGCGTTTCTACTTCCTGAACTTCTTTGTGCACTTGTTCTTTGATTTGTTGGATATATCGGTTTCTTTAGTTTTCTCAGATTGATTCACGGTGTTTCGTCAGTTGTTTTTAACTTTTTTAACTAGAGTTTCATGTTTGCTAGAACTAGATTGTGGTCACTTGTCATCACTACAAATAATCAGGAACATATGAGGAATTCTACAAAAATTCGCACCTTAACTGGAGCCAAATATGGTAATATTGCAATTTGCTGTCCGTAGATCGCAGTAACAATTTTTTTGTAGGTTGATACCAAAAAACATGTTTTCAGGTGTGAGCCTCAAAAAAGGCAACTTTAAGTTTTTTTCCAAAAAAAACTGATTTGATCGCTAAAGCTATTTCATTCTTCTAGCGATCTGCCCCGAAAAACGAGTGAAAGAGACTTCTATACTTGGAGCACACATACATATTGGGTACCAATAGCTTTGTCTTGGTCCCCAGAATGAACTATGACCCTTTGAAGAACCAAAAAAAGCTCAAAGCGTGGCAAACGGTTATTCAGTCCCTAAAATCAACGTTTTTTTCATTTTTTCGCGATTTTATCCGAAAATAAATTAAAAGAGACCTGTATAGTTAGAGCACACGTACATATTAGGTACCAATCACTTCGTCTTGATCCTCAGAATAAATTCTGACCGTTTGAAGAATCATGAAACACCTGCTCAAAGCGTGGCAAGCGGTTATTCAGTCCCTAAAACCGACGTTTTTTTTTTCATTTTTTCGCGATTTTACCCGAAAATAGCTTAAAAGATACCTCTATAGTTTAAGCACACGTACATACACGTACGTTTGATACCAATTGCTTCGTTTTGGTTCCCAGAAGGAACTCTGACCCTTTGAAGAGCCAAGAAACACATGCTCAAAGCGTGGCAAACGGTTATTCAGTCCCTAAAATCGATGTTGTGTTTTTTTCATTTTTTTTGCGATTTTATTAAAAAATAGATTTAAAGACACCTGTATAGTTGGAGCACACGTACATATCAAGTCACCAGCTTCCGACAGGTAGATAAACCTCACTTACGGAAGTCATTTTAACTTGATCGGTAATCTTTTCCGGTAAAATCGCGAAAAAATGAAAAAAAACGTCGATTTTAGGGACTGAGTAACCTCTTACCACGCTTTGAGCAGGTATTTCTTGGATCTTCAAAGGATCAGAATTTATTCTGTGGATCAAGACAAAGCGATTGGTACCTAATATGTATGTGTGCTCCATCTATAGAGGTATCTTTTAATCTATTTTCGGGTAAAATCGCAAAAAAATGAAAAATAACGTCGATTTTAGTTACTAAATAACAGCTTGTCATGCTTTGAGCAGGTGTTTCTTGGCTCTTTAAAGGGTTAGAATTCATTCTGGGATCAAGCCGAAGCGATTGGTACCTAATATGTATGTGTGCTCTAACTATAGAGGTATCTTTTAATCTATTTTCGGATAAAATCGCGAAAAATTAAAAAAAACGTCGATTTTAGGGACTGAATAATCGCTTGCCACGCTTTGAGCAGGTGTTTCTTGGCTCTTCAACGGGTCAGAGTTCCTTCTGGAGACGAAGACAAAACGATTGGTACCTGATATGTACGTGTGCTCCAAGTATAGAAGTCTCTTTCACTCGTTTTTCGAGGCAGATCGCTAGAAGAATGAAATAGCTTTAGCGAACAAATCAGTTTTTTGTTGAGAAAACTTAAATTTGCCTTTTTTTGAGGCTCGTACCTGAAAACATGTTTTTTGGTATCAACCTACAGTAAAAAATTGTTACTGCGGGGTACGGGCAGCAAATTGCAATATCACCATATTTGGCTCCAGTTGAGGTTCGAATTTTTGTAGAATTCCTCATATACACGCAGCATCCATTAGCTTTACTAATAAAGGAAGAACTGAATAAATTGCATACTAAAGATACAAGCATCCAGTTTCTCTGGGTCAAGTTCAAGTGGGGAAAGTTCAATAGTCACTGAAATAAATATCATTTACACAATAATCTTAAAGACATTTTAAGTTCAAAAAACACTATAAATAACCTACTTTTGTTTTTAAAAATCTTTAATAACCTTATTAGCTTGAAGCGGGTTTTTTGTAAATAAAATAGAACTAAATACCAATATGGATACTTAACGAAAATTATTTACTAATTAATAAATACAGAAAATTAACCTGACCTAAATAGTAAAAACTTTAAAACCAAATATTTTTTATCGTATCTTTATAGATATTTAGACTGTATAATTAAAAAAAATCAATATATTATTTTTACTAATGTATGTAACACTTGCTCTAATATAAATCAACTCTCACGATACATTGATGCACGTGTTATTGAACTACGTGCATTGTGCGGAACTAAAATGATGCTATTGTAAGAGAACAATGATGTACCAATAATATAATAAAGCAGTACGACATTCTTATTTCATTGATTTTTAAACTATTTATGTCAAGGTTAAAACGCATAAAAAACTTCTTAAAAACTAAACAAAAGATTTAAAAATTACATATTATGAGAATTCCTACATGAACACAGGTGACCAGGTAATAACTCAAGTGCTGAAATGGAAACAAATAGACGAATGTGCTCTGGGAAACAAATTAAAAAGGAAAACGGTTATTAAGATAAGGTGAAAATATACTAATCTACAATGGAATAGCAAAAGAAAACATAAACAAAACAGGTGTAGCCTTACCAATATACCAAAGATACCAAAATCACATCAAAGAGTGTCAATACGTATCAGAAAGGATTTTAACAGCATAGAAAAGATGTAGAAGGAAGACCTGAACACAACAAGCCTAAAATACCAAGGGAAACATTTTATAACGATATAGATAAGGGAAAATTATGATACTGAAACATGCTCGAATAAACAACCAAGTAAAAACTGAAATTAAACAAAAACGGAACAAGAATGTTAAAAACGAAAATGAAGAACTGATAACGAATGAACACATTTTTTGATCGCAAAGATCGGCACAAATATACATTCAATAACCCCGAATATTAATAACGGCATTGGAGTGTGAGATGGTCTAAGGCACGAAGAGATAAAGATACAACAGGAAATACGGAAAATTGGAAAATTAGAAAAACTTAAAGATAAGAACATCCGAGTTCT